TCACAGAGAGCACACAAACAGGTCTTCACTGAGCTAAGTACACGTCACCACTCGACTGAGCTAAGTACACGTCACCACAGTGAAGGTGACAAGACAGTGCCTTGTGTCAGTGAGCTAAGAAACACTGAAGGTGACAAGACAATGCCTTGTGGCAGTGAGCTAAGAAACAGTGAAAAGGTGACAAGACAATGCCTTGTGTCAGTGAGCTAAGAAACACTGAAGGTGACAAGACAATGCCTTGTGTCAGTGAGCTAAGAAACACTGAAGGTGACAAGACAATGCCTTGTGGCAGTGAGCTAAGAAACAGTGAAGATGACAAGACAATGCCTTGTGTCAGTGAGCTAAGAAACACTGAAGGTGACAAGACAATGCCTTGTGTCAGTGAGCTAAGAAACACTGAAGGTGACAAGACAATGCCTTGTGGCAGTGAGCTAAGAAACAGTGAAGGTGACAAGACAATGCCTTGTGGCAGTGAGCTAAGAAACAGTGAAGGTGACAAGACAATGCCTTGTGGCAGTGAGCTAAGAAACAGTGAAGGTGACAAGACAATGCCTTGTGGCAGTGAGCTAAGAAACAGTGAAGGTGACAAGACAATGCCTTGTGGCAGTGAGCTAAGAAACACTGAAGGTGACAAGACAATGCCTTGTGGCAGTGAGCTATTCATTATACTCAGATTGGATTTGTTTCTTTCCCCTGAACTTTTTTTTTCTCTCTTCTCATTTCCACCATTATGAAGAGCCTTTTCTCATTTTTTTTCAGTGATAAAAGGTGGGTTGTCGAAGAATTCCAATTTGCTTCTTGGGGAATATCTTTTAAATATAATCATTTACTTTAGTCCACACTGTTTTGTCTTCCATGCAAATCTATTTGCAATGTCCTAGCTTGCTGCTTGTGTGCTGCTGCCATCATTGCAAGCAACATGTGTGCTGCTGCCATCATTGCAAGCAACATGTGTGCTGCTGCCATCATTGCAAGCAACATGTGTGCTGCTGCCATCATTGCAAGCAACATGTGTGCTGCTGCCATCATTGCAAGCAACATGTGTGCTGCTGCCATCATTGCAAGCAACATGTGTGCTGCTGCCATCATTGCAAGCAACATGTGTGCTGCTGCCATCATTGCAAGCAACATGCAATATTTGCCTATTTCACAAGTTTTGTCTTGTGTGGAGGTTTTGAAGCTTTTTTAACAGACCTTACAACTATATTATTCTTCCTTAACCAAGGTCCTGACCCCACAATGGCCCTGACCCCACCATGGTGCTAGCCTCCACCATGGTTCGGACCCCACCATGGTTCTGACCCCACCATGGTTCTGACCCCACCATGGTCCTGATCCCACCATGGCCCTGACCCCACTATGGTCCTGAATCTATCATGGCCATGACCCCACCATGGCCCTGGCTCATCTATGATATTGACCACAACTTGATCCTGACCCTCTTGTGGTCATGACCCTATCCCTGCCAGGGCCCACCCTGCCAAACCCTCCTCACCCTGGTTCCCACCAGAGCTCAGGTAATGGGTCTGCAGGTCTCGTTAGGAACGTGTAGACTAATCTTATGGAGTTTGTTTATGTGAACATGGTTGTAGGGGTCCCACTTGTTCTTTATGACGGCCATATCCCATGCTGGGCCCGTGGTAGTGGTGATGGTGGTGGTATGGCGGTTGTGTGATGGTGTAGTGGTGGTGGTGCTGGTGTTTTTTCATGTAGCAAAATTGTATAGACCTGCAGTTTGCTGCTATATTATTCTTTATAATGGTTACACAGTGGGAGCAAACGCTATGTTTTCCCTGCTACATTCCACCAGACAGGATGGATTTCATACATGGCGTTTAAATGTCAACCTGACTGGGAGACTTCAGAGGGCGGTGAGGTTATCGTCAAGTAATCATTGTGGGTGTAGCTACGGAGTTTCAAAGACTTCGTTCCAGCAGAACTGGAGTCATTATCACGTGGGAATTACTCTCAGCATGGCTTATCCCATACACAGAAAAAATTAAAATTGTATGATATGTTCATCATATAGCGAGGCAACAACCAGTACACATGTAAAAGAAAAGAAATAGAAAAGGAGGGAATTTGAATTACACTATATACAAGCACCTAAAGTCGGTTCCTGACCAGCCGGGCTGTGGCTCGTACGTTGGTTTGCGTGCAGCCAGCAGCAACAGCCTGGTTGATCAGGCTCTGATCCACCAGGAGGCCTGGTCACAGACCGGGCCGCGGGGGCGTTGACCCCCGGAACTCTCTCCAGGTAAACTCCAGGTAAGAATATTTACATACATATAGGAATACAAATTCATTGATGTAAATACTCTTGATATTTAAATGCTACATTATGTGTAACAGATGCCTAAGAATACCCCTACGTGTACTAGCCTCGCAACAACCAGCCTGAACGTAACACTTATCAAATCGCTTGTGCTCATTTATTTGGAGTATTGCTCAGTGTTGACGGCCCCGTTCGGGGCTGGAGAGATAGAGCTCGAATAGATACGGAGAGCTAATAAAACATTTAAAATACTACTGGAATGCAATAAAGTTATAAATATGTACTCACTGAAGCGGAGGAGAGATACGTGATAATATATACCGGGAAGGTACCTGATGGTCTTGTCCCAAATCTGCACACTCCTATACCAACAAATTGAAATCAGGGATGTGGGAGGAAATTCAAAATAAACCCGGTGACAAGCAGGGGCGTCGTGGGCACAATAAGGGAACATTGCATCAAAGTCCGCAGCCCCAGACTTTTCAACATCTTACCATAAGATATCAGGAACACTGCTGTGACAAGTGTAGAAGTCTTCAAGAGGAAACCAGACAAGTATCTTCACCCGGTGCCAGATCAACAAGCTGTAATGGACATGGGGCCAGGCTCAGTAGCAACAACTGGTGATCAGGCAAGCACAGACGAGCTGGTCCAGGCCTGACTCCGGGAGCAGCAGCTCTAAATATCAAAAGATATCAGGGTAAACATATAGAAGGGAAGAGGAACATGCAATAGCCTACGACCATGCAAGGCAGGTTTAAACCCACATACTATTCTATACCCTCCAATCTACTTAAGAAAGTTCTCTTTCCTGACGTACTGGAAGTTACTTATCTACACTCTGCCATCCAAATCCTGATACCTTTCTAATTCTAATATTATCCGACTTGAATCCATTGCTGAGGGTCCTGTCTTGGTTAGATATTTTCAGCGTTATTTATAAACTCATTTATATATTCCCGTTTTGTATTTGTGCGCTTCAGTTACATCCCCAATAAATTTACGTCTTTTCAGAGAGTGTAAAATCAGTGTTTTCATTCTTAGTACCTGGAGTTTACCTGGAGAGAGTTCCGGGGGTCAACGCCCCCGCGGCCCGGTTTGTGACCAGGCCTCCTGGTGGATCAGAGCCTGATCAACCAGGCTGTTACTGCTGGCTGCACGCAAACCAACGTACGAGCCACAGCCCGGCTGGTCAGGTACCGACTTTAGGTGCTTGTCCAGTGCCAGCTTGAAACTGCCAGGGGTCTATTGGTAATCCCCCTTATGTATGCTGGGAGGCAGTTGAACAGTCTCGGGCCTCTGGCACTTACTGTATGGTCTCTTAACGTGCTAGTGACACCCCTGCTTTTCATTGGGGGGATGTTGCATCGTCTGCCAAGTCTTTTGCTTTCGTTGTGAGTGATTTTCGTGTGCAAGTTCGGTACTAGTCCCTCTAGGATTTTCCAGGTGTATATAATCATGTATCTCTCCCGCCTGCGTTCCAGGGAGTACAGGTTCAGGAACCTCAAGCGCTCCCAGTAATTGAGGTGTTTTATCTCCGTTATGCGCGCCGTGAAAGTTCTCTGTACATTTTCTAGGTCGGCAATTTCACCTGCCTTGAAAGGTGCTGTTAGTGTGCAGCAATATTCCAGCCTAGATAGAACAAGTGACCTGAAGAGTGTCATCATGGGCTTGGCCTCCCTAGTTTTGAAGGTTCTCATTATCCATCCTGTCATTTTTCTAGCAGATGCGATTGATACAATGTTATGGTCCTTGAAAGTGAGATCCTCTGACATGATCACTCCCAGGTCTTTGAGTAAGAAAGATTTCTAATACATGGGATTAACTTCGTCACCCTTCTCAGTATATATTCGAGCACAGTAATGTTCATTCTGTAAAATGTAGATCAGATTATTATTATTATAATCATGGGGGAGCGCTAAACCAGTAGGATTATACAGCAGTGTAGATCAGAAAGGTATGTAAAGTTAAAGTTATGTAAAGATGAAGTATATTATTAGGATTTTTATTATTTATATTTCTTAATATAAAGTCAACTCTATTAGCATTATTGTGAATACTTATGATCTGTTGTCTTGGCTTTAATTAAATTTCTTTTAACCAAAACTCCTTAATCTTTTTTCGCATTCAGTTTGACTAAGATCTGCATTATTTAGCCTATAAGTACCGTAGTTATTTCCTTTTCCTAGGATTATAACCTAACATTGGTTTGCCTACATTGAACTGCATCTGCTATTTCTCCTACCACATCAACCTATCCAACGTCGTGAAGCAAAATGTATTGGTGGTAGTGGGGCGGGATTTATCTTGTTACACTAGTTGTGATAATGAAAGTATAGTATATGAGAGGTTTTTAAGAGATGTACATGTATACCCTCATTGGTTTTAATTTGCTGAGAGAATAACTTGGTGTGTTATCTTGTTGAGTACTAGTAACTCTCTGCTAACAACCAGTAGTAGCCTCGTCATCATTTCTTCAGTCATTACAGTGTTCTTCATTTTAATTGATGCTTGTTTGAGATTTAAATCCGCACCATCTAAGGCGTTTTCTGTCCACACTCTGAAACTTCTTATTAAATATTTACGCATTTCCTCCTCCGATTCTGTGTATTCGTTTTCGAGATAAATTTTGAGTATTTTGTCTTTCACGCATTTTTTTTTCCGAGGTATAGTCTAGTCGACAATACCTCTTTCATGGTGAAAAAAAAAACCTGACATTTTTTTTATGTGTTGCAGGTGTGTGTGGCGAGGCTTGTTGCTGTCCACGCTGCTGGCTGTTGTTACCTTGGTGAGTACTCGATCTTACACCTCCCTGTATACCTCACACTCTACCAGTTTTCTACTGTTTGATTACAACTTTCACCTTTCTCCTTATGTCTTGGTTTTTATAACTACATGGTCTGTATTACCCTTGTGAATTTAGCGCTTGGTTTTGATAATAATATAACTACATGAATCCCTGTAGGGACTTAGATGACCTTTAAGTTTTAACAATATAATGCGGTTTTTAACTGATGTTTTCTTTTTAACTTTGTGTGATATTATTTGTTAATGTTGTTTCCTTGTGTTCACAGTTTTTATTATAGCTATTTGGATTCATCATCGGTAACCCTTCTTCCGTGTGTCTCCTATATCCTTGCCTCCTACACCCCTTATGTCTCCAACACCCTCATTATGTCCTCCATATTTCTCATATCCCCCCCCCTTCCAGCTGTATGTCCGCTACACCTCGGTTGGGGAAGGGAGTTTGAACATCTATGTTTCTTTGTTTTTTTACTCAAATAAATTTTACAGTCTAAGAACTGTTATCCTACTTAAGTTCATTTCGAAGCTCAGCTCTATCTAAGGTAGATTACCACCCCCGAGGATGCGACCCATACCAGTCGGCTAACACCCATGTACCTACTTACTGACAGGTGAACAGGGGCAGCAGGTGTAAGGAAACGTGCCCAACGTTTCCACCCGCACATTTCGGACATTTACCTGAGTGCTAATAAACTAGCCATGTGCTACCTCGGCTTCTGATTCTCCTACAGTTACGCGTTCATGAACATTTACGCCACAGATGTATAGCATAACTACGGGAAAACTTTAATGTGGCGTTTATAGGTAAGTACGATGATGTCTGTATGTGACTGTGGTGTCACAGCTGCCATGTCTTTCCTCTCATGGTCGCAGGAAAACTCATTTGACGGAGTCGGTAGATGTGAACAAAAAATGAGGGCTTTTGACACCACTGATATAGCAGACGGAGATTTTCCTTTCGGATCCCAAAGAACTGTAGTTAAAAGGAAAAATCAGTCTTGCGTGCGTGTGTGTGTGGGGGGGGGGGTGAGGGAGAGGAGGGTAAAATACACAGGGGTGGGTGGGGAGTGGGAAAGGTTGGGGATGGACTGTGTACAAACGCTCTCCCTACAGGCACTGACTCACCCCCTCGCCCGTTTCTTATCCTCATTAAACCCAGAGCAGTGACAGCTACACAGACTTGAGGCTCGTGACATCATTTATGCACCATGATAATATCAAAATGAAAACTACCTCCTTAGGATACTTAATACTTACAAACTTGCATTTCTGGTCACAGTGGTGCCCATGCTAACCTCCAATGTTTAGAAACATTGCTAGCTGAATGAGCCTTATTAGGCCTGAGCGTTGCAATGGCCAGAGCACTAGCCCTCTAGTTTCAGGACTGGTTTGTCATGGCTTCTAAGCTCATTCCCTGATTTTTTTTTTTTTTGGCTTAGTATCCAATGCAGGTTTGACTTTTAGTCACTAAAATATACGAAAGAGTTAGTGAGGAAAAGCGTTAGTAATGAAGACAGGTACTGAATGTAAGCCGTTGTTTTACCTTATCATAAGACAAATAACGGCAAGATTATTATTAGTAGTATTGCATTACCGGGAAACGCTAAGCCCACAAGGGCAATACAGTGCCTAGGAACCGATGAAGAATGTTTAATAAAGTCTGGCTACTTGTTCTTTCAATAACACCGAAAGAAAAATACGTTTCTAACCTGGATGACAAGATCACATGCAAAACCCTTTAAATTATTATGCTCCCAACGAATGATATCATAAATTTACAGTCGTGATTATAGCAGCATTGAAATCTTAACTGCCTATAAACGGGACTGTTATTGTTCAATAATATCACAATCTAGAGAGAACAAGTGACTTTAAGAGTATCAAAATCAGCTTCTCATTTTTTTTAAATTCTAGTTATCCAGCTTATAATTTTCTTTGTGGTTGTGATAGTAACACTGTTGTGATCTAAATTTAAGGTGAAGATCTGACATTATCACTCCTTAGTTCCTCACATTTCTCGTCCTCTCTGTTGAAGAATTTGATTTTGTTTTATATTCTTTTCTGGTTTTTATAGTTCCAAATTTCCATAGTGAAGTAATTAAAATGTGTCCTCAATAAATATCATATTTTTTTTGTGGCCGACTGGAAGCCCTGACTTATAATCAACTTGTAGAATTGCTGTTCTCATTGTTTACAATTCCTGTCTTCTCGTATAGGTACATACCTGACAGAATTGTACTAGTGCAGTTCTTCCCTCTTCACATAGGTACATGCACTACAATTACAGTTGCACAGGTACAATTCCTCCCTCTCCATATAAGTAACATTCTCGACAGTTAAATTTCAGCTTGTTAGGTAAGACACATATGCAACAGTTAGGTATCTTTATTATGAAACGTTTCGCCTACACAGTAGGCTTCTTCAGTCAAGTACAGAAAAGTTAATAGAAGCAGAAGATACTTGAAGACGATGTAATCAGTCCATCACCCTTAAAGTTTTGAGGTGGTCAGTCCCTCAGTCTGGAGAAGAGCATTGTTCCATAGTATGAAACAATATTGTTTCATACTATGGAACAATGCTCTTCTCCAGACTGAGGGACTGACCACCTCAAAACTTTAAGGGTGATGGACTGATTACATCGTCTTCAAGTATCTTCTGCTTCTATTAACTTTTCTGTACTTGACTGAAGAAGCCTACTGTGTAGGCGAAACGTTTCATAATAAAGATACCTAACTGTTGCATATGTGTCTTACCTAACAACCTGTCGGTATTTTATACCATTTAAATGTTCAAATTTCAGCTTGTATGTAAGGACAGGAATGTAAGGTCTAGTGGACAAATATTACCTTGCACGTGAATGAGTGGGTATTGGTAGTCGTCTCAATGATTTGGGACAATTGTGATGTATTACGAATCTTAAGACTGTAAAAGATATGTACAAAATTCACTTATTGTGAGTGGTGTAGTGGTAACATAAACAAGGGGTGTAAAAGACACATGGGGGAGCGGGAGTTGTAAGAGACACAAAGGATTTAGCAGAAACTTGGCAGAGTGTAGGTGGTATTCGGGGAGTGTTGGTGGTATTCGGGGAGTGTAGGAGACATACGGGGTGTATAAGAGGCCTTTCCTACAATTTCTCCTCATATTGACTCAGACGAGTTACAGGTATGTTAGGAAGTATTTTTTCAGTCATAGAGTTGTCAGGAAGTGGAATAAATAACAAAAAAAGGCACAGTACCGTGACTGGGACGATACACAAATAATCCGCACATAGAAGAGAAGCCATACCCCCGGCCGGGATTGAACCCGCGGTCATAGAGTCTCAAAACTCCAGCCCGTCGCGTTAGCCACTAGACCAGCTAGCCACAGTAAGATTCATCCAACTAGGTATATTTCTACACCATAGGAAGGTCAGCACAGGCACCTCTGTGACCACAAATGCAAGTTTTTACAGACGAATCTCCAGCTAGCGTGGCCGTGACGAACTCTAGCTCAAGTCCCTTCACTGCCGTCAACATGACTCAAGAAATCGTAATGACACGATTACAAATAAACCATACCCCCGGCAGTGAAGGGACTTGAGCTAGAGTTCGTCACGGCCACGCTAGCTGGAGATTCGTCTGTAAAAACTTGCATTTGTGGTCACAGAGGTGCCTGTGCTGACCTTCCTATGGTGTAGAAATATACCTAGTTGGATGAATCTTACTGTGGCTAGCTGGTCTAGTGGCTAACGCGACGGGCTGGAGTTTTGAGACTCTATGACCGCGGGTTCAATCCCGGCCGGGGGTATGGTATATTTGCAATCGTGTCATTACGATTTCTTGAGTCATAGAAGAGAAGAGATTACGGCGACGTTTCGGTCCGACTTGGACCATTTACAAAGTCACAGTAACGAAAAGGCAAAAAAGCAAACAAGTTCAGGTAAGATCCCAGTGGGATGAGCGGGGAAGACGGGACAGTTGAAGAATAGCTCTTGAGAGAAGTGTTCTTAGACAGAGAAATAGAGCCAGGGCTTAACCCAGCAGCCAAGGCGATCGTGGGGCAGACTTGAGAACAGGAATAGCAGGGACTGTTGCATCAAACTTGTGGTAGTTGAAGTCTTGAATCTTGAGTAGCTGGCAGCAGGTTAGGTCACATCAGAGGATAGAACACATATGGGAGTTATAGGAGTAACTGAGAAGGCAGGTTAGCAATGGAGCCATTTTCAAACTTTTTGAAGCTGCTCCTAGATAGGTGGTATAATTTAGCCTTGTTACTGAAGGTGAAACGTAGAGGCTTGATGAACTCAAGAACTTGGGTGAGTGTGAAGTGAAGCGATGATTCACAGGCATACTTGACTGTTCCAGCACTGAGGCTTTTGTAGAGTTCAGTACAGGTCATGGTGTCAGTATTTGAAGAAGTGTAGAAGGTAAGGTTTTCCCATGAGGGTTTACTGGAGTCGTCGCTATCTTCCTCTTCTGGAGTGGATTCACTGGGCGAATCTACAATAGTGGTAGCTGGTGATTGAGGGTCGGCAGGAACAGTGGAGAGGTGTAATGGTTGTGTAACAGCAGGCTGGGAGAGGTGGGAGACGGTGATTGAGGCAGCATGATCAACGTTATCAGCGGTGGGAGTGGTTATAGAAGTTACAGGAGCAGTTGCTTGGGCAGGAGACAGGTCTGTAGGTGCAGTAAAGTTCAGGGCAGTGGGAAGGATCTTGAGGATGTCTGCTGAAGGTGTGGAGTCCGGAAAATTGAAGGCAGGCATGTTGTTCAGACGGAATAGTTCGTTAATAGTGGTGTTGAAAGTGCCAGGGTTTGCTGCGTTTGCAAGGTGTGCATACACCATGCAGTACAGCACCTTGGAGGAAGCACCGTCGGGGAGCGGAGAGAGGGAGTTGCTGGGCGATGGTGCCTATAGATTAGCGTGTAGAGTCTTGGTGGTGTCGGTTTGTGATTTGGTTATTGCAGCATATGTCGGTGAATTGGAGGTGTTCTTCAGAAC